GACATTTTACCTAATAACTAAAACTATTTGCCCAATTACGGGTTTTTCCACATTTCATTAGCAAAATTTCCACATATACGGATTTTTCTTAACTGTCCCCTAAACTTGTTCAGTAGTGATTTTGAAAATTAATTTTTTGATTGTAGAGAGAAAAATGAATCTATACGTGAGAAGAAAAATTAAAAATGACAGCTAAAATCGTAAAATCATAATCAAAAATTGGTTTTTTGAAGAGAAAAATCACTTCCAAACATGCACTAGAACTCAAAATATCCACAAAATTAATCATTGACAGGAACCCTGTCTTTTTCATTTTGGAAGAGCCTCGAAAAAGGAAAATTTTTTTTCTTAATGGAATGCTTCCCCCACCAAAGTACAAGCAGCTTTAATAGGTTGGTGGTCATATTTAAAAGCATTTAATTCTGCAACTACAAAAATCGACTATTAAAATCCGTACACCGGAGAACTGTTTTTAAAAAAATGTTAAACCCTAACCTTAAGGGTCCCCCACCACCCCTATCCTGGAGCATCGTGAGAGAGGTAAATCGCAGGTTATGCCTCCAAGGGTACAGGGTGGAAGGTTGCTTGTACACTTGCACTTACCCAAGAGCCAAATCCATATTTCAGGATTCGAATCCTTGACGCAGCAGCCTCAAGCAAAGCTGGATTTCTCCACCCTACCCTTTTACCACTTGGAGATGTGCCCTGAGGGCACGGGAGAACTGTTTTTACTTGTCTCAAAGATGCCCTCAAGAAGGAAATGATTAACATTTGATCGATCATATTTAGCCCCTATTTGTTATGTGTTGAAATCATAATTTTAGTAAATTTTAATTAAAGTTAAAAAATATATGATTGAAAAATTGCGGGACCATGAAATATATCGTTAAAATTAATTGTTAATTTTGAATTAGATTAAGACCTGAATTTTAATCAATACAAAAATAGTTCTTAGAAAGCATAAAAGGAAGACGGCTAGAGAATAATTTAGTTACTTGTAATATAAAAATAAAATAAAATAAAAAGAGAGCACAAGGATTTACATTGCTTATTTGGAAATAAAAACAAAAGATGCGCATATATACACGTCACAACTTTCAAACCACATTATCAAAATACTTACGATTCAGAAATTGATTTATAAATTCAGTTACAATTAAATATTAATTTTAACTACATATTCATATTTAATACTCAAACACAAGATTTTTATATATTTGTTCACCACATAGAATCAATTTACTTAGAAAATTAACTATTTTTAAAGTGAATTTTTATTTACTTGTATATATAATGTGTATACTAACATATACACGCACAATACACATACAGAGAGAGAGAGAGAGAGAGCACATGTTTTCACGTGGCTACAGCCATTCAAGGATCAATTAGGCGGGGATTTGAGAAACAATTTGGGACACGTTTAATTATTTATAGAAAAAATCGGCGGAACCACAGTTGACCCACTTGTGCTGTGCGTGCCTTACAATAATTTCCATTATTTTTTATAAACGAGACATGCATTAAAAAAAAAATTAAATAAATAAAATAAAAAACCATACTCCTCTAATTCAAAAGTGGCTGCTAATGAGCACTTCAATGAGAAGTGCTTCTTCACGTGCAGGGTACGAATACTCACAGCATTGAGGGTGGGTGAGGTTTTTGATAGTTCTTTATACAGGTGCGAGACTTGCCTGGTATGAGTGTTGGTAGGGATTGTGTTAATCCAGCAAAATTCGCAATTCAATAGCTCCAAGTCCTGTAATTATTAAATTACTTTCCACAGTGGCAAGCAGCAGCATCTGCCATAAAGACTAAAGTAAAGTTGTGGGTTAATTGGATTCCTAAACGAGTTTATTATCAAGAAATAATGCATAATTTTTTTTTTTTTTTTTTGTCACGACAAAATACTACTTTACTTGTTATCAGGGAAACTAAAGGGAATAAAAGGGTTTCTTGTGATTTGTATAATATTGGAACCAATAATGAATATATAAAAGTCTGTCCTCGATTTTTTCCAAATAAAATACATGGATTTTCAGTTAATTTTTTTGGCCTCACTTTCAATTTACTTTTCTAGAGTTAATTTTCATGCATTCACAGCCTTTTTCTACTTAAAAGCAGCTAAAAGGAAGAAAAGAAAAACAAAAAAGAAAATCATAAATAAGTCATCATACCTGCAAGGCATGAGCTGGTGGAAGCATGAATCTAAAGTGTGGAAATGAAGTCCAGAAAGAGTTGACCTGGAATGGAATCAAGACAAATACAATTATTTATAAATGTTTCCACATCCAAGAAATTATCCAATAGACAAATTAACTCAAAAACTGAACTCCATCCATTTCAATTAATAAAAAACCAATTTTGGAATTTCAGCTGATTTAGTTCTACCCTTTACTCCAACTAACATATCATGTTCAGCATCTGATACCTTTTAATTTACAACAAGGCAACACAAAGGGAAGCTGTTTCTTACAATTCTCACAGCAAAAAGAAGATAAATAGACCTTTGACTTAAAGAGAAGACCTGAAGAACTGGAATTTTATATGCACAAGTTTTACACAAGATGTTCAAGTCTGCAAAATGGAGAAGCGAGAAGATCAAAGTTGTATTCAAAATGC